GTTCTGTCAAGCAACAATTAAAACTTAGATTGTCAATCAAAGTGTTCCAGATAAGATTGACCTCTTTACACTTCAAACTCTTTGACAAGGAGTGAAACAGTCGAAATTTTGATTACCGGTAAATTCTATTTTCAACAATAAGAAAATATTTGCTTCATGTGATGTTATTCAGCATAGAGCTTCAGATGATGAAATTATAGCACTCTACCCAATCTTAAAGTAGTCAGAATTTTGATAGACGATAATTTAACTTCGTCGATAATACAGTGATTAATTCTGCCTAAACTATGGAAACTTGTATTGTCCTCTAACACAGAACGTCAATTAAAATTTTAATCTTTTAACTAGTCTTCAAATGGTTTGCAATTTTGATTGACTATAAAAATTGCAATTATTTTCGATTGTATCCAATGATTCACTTAACTTCCATTGTATCAATCGATTTATATAATTTCCATTGCATCTTGCATATTAATCTGGCATTCAGTTGCAGTTAAAATTTGAACATTATAAGAAAATGGGAAAAGAGCTGAAATTTCGATTGTAAGATTCCAATATTACAAACACAAAAAATGATAGTTGATAAAATTTTAATATTATTTATTAATAGTCTTTCACTTGCATTATAATCTTAATGATTAATAAACTTTAGACACACAAAACTAACACACTTAACTTAACACAAAAATGAATACAAGGCAATAGAATAAATCACAAAAATAGATACATGAGAATTAAGACTATTAATGCAGGAACACTTTATCTCCTAATTCAGTGGTCGGCAAAGGGCGGCTCCAGAGCCGCGTGTGGCTCCTTCGCTCCTTAAGAGCGGCTCTGGCACAAATATCCACGGAAGGCGCAATAATATTTTCATTTTTAAAAAAAAACTTGGCAAGAAAAAAATTACATCTTATTTTGATAAATTAAAATCCTCTTAATGCTACGATAACCGAGTTGAAATTTTTCCCTCTTGAAATTGACATTGGTAGCTTTGAAATACAATTGCTGGATTTAAAAAACAAGCAGATATGGCGCTCTAAATTCGAACGTCTTTCTGTTGAATTGGAAATATTGGAGAAGAAAAAATTTGATCCAAGTGGTCAGCTTTGAATGACCAGGAGAAGGAAGACATGATCATTTTCAACGCTTGGAATAGTATTCCTAACTCTTATGATTAGCTGAAAAACCTCGCGTTTGCTGTTCTTTCCCTTTTCGGATCTACATATATATGCGAACAATCTTTTTCAAGCATGAACATTATCAAGAATAAACTGAGAAGTCGTCTTTTTGATGAGATCTTGGAATCATGCCTAAAATTAAAAACAACAATATACAAACCTGACTTACTGAAACTTTCCAAGGCACATTGTTGCAAGCACATTGTTTGCATTAATAAATATTTATTAAGTATGAAATTTAGTTTTATTTAGTGTACTACTTATTTAGTGTAATAAAAGTTTACTAAACAAGCAGATTTAGCTCCCAATTTTTTTAAAAATTGTTGTAATGTTCATATTTGGCTCTTTGGCTAACAAATTTGCCTACCACTGTCCTAATTTATGTGAGCTTTTAATTTTTTAGTGATTTCTATTACTTTTACTCAAAAAAACAAAACAAAAATGCACTATTCCCAAATTTTTGAAAAATTAGATAAAACGTATTTGTTTAACTCGTGTAGAACGCTAAGGAGAATCGCTAATTGAAAAGTATATTTCTGTTGAGTCAATCTTATGAGTATTTAAATTGAAACACAAAAAAAACAGTAAATGAATTCTTAAAATTTTTCATCAGATCAATATTTATTTTAACAACAATTACTTATTGTCTGCCAACCCATAATTAAAAGTTAAGAAGCAAAATAAGTCACCAAACGAAAGAAAACAGAATATTTAATTATTTTCAAAAAAATATACATTAGTAAGATTTCTAATGAAAAAAATAAAAATTTAGATCTTTTTTATAAAACAAATAATTCATCAAAATAATCATTTCAATTTAAACATAACAGCAATAAAATTACCATAAAATACGACCTACCATCAATTAAATTAAAATTCATACTTACATTCAACATGCTTTTTCATAATTTATAATATATTTTTTTCCAAATGTACTAACATTAAAAAAATAATACAGTCAACTTACAAAATTAATTTTCTTATTACAACTGAGCTACATAACATGGGATTTAAATAAATGCAAGTAGGTAGGAAATCATAGACTAGATAAAAAAAAAAAGAGAAAAAAAAAACACAAAATCACTCACTCAAATAAAAATTAACTAAAATATTTGTAACACAATACACAAAGTTTGTTATTAAAGTACATTCAACATACAGGCACATAGAGATTTATTTCTTAAGCACTGCTTTATGAGTGTAACGAATGTTACGCAACAAGTTTGCAATAAAAATAACTTATCTAAAAACATATTATTCAAATTTATAAAATTGAGAGATCATTAGTAAAGAGAATTAATAAAGTTTTTGAATGTTAAATCAAACTATTTTTAAGTTAAATTTAATTTTACTTCCCACTTTCATACTTAAATAAATTAAAACTCTTGAAATTCAAATTTTAAGTGAGAAATAATCAACTTGATTGGCAAAATATTAAAATTTATTTACAAGAATGTGACTGGTGAGCAAAACTGTACAAATTTAATAAAACTAAGATTTTCTAGTTGAAGATTTGCTTTCAAATTGTTGGGGATAATACATATTTTAGAAACAAAACCAAAAAACTTTTGCAATATTTTAGTATAAAATAAACGGAAAATTAACTAGCTGTTTTCTAATAATTCGCAAACAATCCAAATTTTTAAAGCAAATTTAATAAAGGTGTAGAATCTAAATCACGATTATTGTAAATTGGCTTAAACTTAGCCTCAGACCAATTTTCATGCTTTTTAAGAATAAATTTAAATTTTTGAATTTTAAATTTTAAGTGTTAAAAACTTGACTGGCAAAAAGTTTAAATTTATTTACAAGAATGTCAAATCTACTTGCAAAAAGCTTAATATTTTGTGCAAAAACAATTTAAATTTAATTCAAATGAGACAATTAAGTTGATTAGTTGTTAGAGATAATACCTGTTTCTACATAGGGAGAAAAAAAATCGTAATATTCAAATATAAAATTAGCATGATAAATGAAAAATTAACTATCTGTTTTCTTATTATTCACAGATAATTTAAGCATAATTTGTTATTGGCTACGTGTTTTTAAAGCGTTATGCTAGCACTGCATTAGTCATAGAAATGAAAAAAAAAGTTAATGTTATGCAATATACATTTCTTACTCTTCTCCTGCAATTAAAAATAATTCTTAGTGTGATTGAAGACCTTAGTGGGAGATCTTGCTAATAAACATGATCTTCCTCCACAAAACATGAATCGCTTTTATAAGCAGTTCATCAGTGTTTCTAAGCTTTCTTTTGATTTTCACAAATGTATTAAACGTGTTTGTCTATTGAGTTCTTCAATTACATTTTGAGAAGTTCTCTTATTTATAGTCTGAACACTATAACGCACTTAAGATACAAATATCATATCAGAATAAGTTATTATTTGTCTTGCACAAAAATAAATGAAATAAAAAAGGTCCAAAGTAAAATGCTTTATAAAAAGAATTAATTCACAATTATTTTATATTTCTGGTAAAGATTGAGCATACTAAATACACGGTAATATTCAAGTTATAAACAGTGAAATTACTGCAGTTTCCAACAATGGTTTGTTCAGTTTTGTTGAATAAAGGACGGGCAAATGTGGAAGACAACTACAATTGTACTGGATCACTTACAAAACTATAAAGGAATTAAATTTAAATATAATTATAATAGAAATATTTCAAATAATTATCTTTAAAATAAGTGAACTGCAAATCCAAATATAAAAATATTCAATTAATTATCCTTCAGTTAATTCTAAATCAAAAGTGAAATTTGTTCATATAATTTTCTTTGGATTCACTCTACATACAAGTTGAGAATTATTTTTTTTTTTTCAAAACAAAAATAGTAGTAAACAACCTAGTTTCTAAAATATTTAATTCTGAAAAATATTGTATCAATAAATTTAGCATACAGTAGTTCGCTTTTTGACTTAAGCACTGAAAATTTTCAATCAAGATAGAAAAAAAGTAAAATAAATTCTAAAAGCTCAAAACGAAAGTTAATACATAAAAATTTAATATTAACATGAAATATTATTTGAAGAAAGAAAATAGGTTACATTTTAATTTATAATCAAAATATATTTTAAAAAGATATTAATTCAGAATATCCTACTTATTTTCTTAAATTATTGCCGTATTTTACAATATATATTTTTAACTTACTGAAATATAATTAACATATAAAAATATACTTTTCTTAGCTAAAACCCAAAACAAAATTTTGAAACTTTATATATTTTTTTATTAAAAAAAAAACTCTTAAGAGTACAACATTAGCACAATTTCTGTAAATTGCAAATAATATTTATGTAACAATTTTATGACAGAAAAAATTTGAAATAAATGGATTAGATTGAAGATAGTAGTTTACAACCAAATTTTATAACTTTTAGATGCTTAAACAATAAAATATTCTATTTTCTAAAAGCAATTTTTATTCTGAAAATTTTCTAGTGATTTTCGATTAAATTTAGTTATTTTACATAAATGTAAACTACAATGCATACCAGGTCAGTATCAGTATCAAATGCTAAAATTTTATATCTCAATATAAATTTCCGAAATTTAAACAGAGATAGTGAGATGGATTACTTGATTTGAAGCAAAATAAAAGTTTAATTTTAACAAAATTAAATTTTCAACAGAATTAAATTTTGAACAAAAAAAAAGCTCTAAAATGTTAATAAGCTTAAGTATAGCATTGATTTGTTATGGCACAACTGAGTATTTATATCTCATAAAATTGACTATATTAAATGAAATACACACATTATATACAGTTCTAAAAATATATGTATAGTATATATAAAAAAAAATGAAAGATCAATTTTTGAAAGTTTATATATCACCAATCTATCAACATTTTTTGTACAAATCACATAAATTGAGATAATACTTTGAATTGTTAAATCAATATCACGACATATTTTACTAAGCAAGGAACAAAAAATAATTTCAGCTGCTTTAAAGTCTTGATTTTAATCTCTACAAGGCTTTCTGAAACATTTTTTTTTTGCCTGATTTCAGAGTAATTAAAAATATTATATAAAAAAATACCTAAAATTAATAACAAACTTCTGCTATACAAAAATTGACACTTATTTAGTTTATTCTAAAAATAACAGAAATATTGAGATGAGTTTAACAAATTAAATTAAAAGGATTTAAACATACTACTTTAGGATAAAACTTTTTCTATCATAGAACAAAAACTAATTGAGATTTACTTATTTCAGAAATAATAAAATTCGAATGTGTTATACAAAATGAGATTAAAATAAAAAGGTATACAAAGCTTCATATTTAAATATATTGAACAAAAGTGCATTATTAAATAGACTAGAACAAACAAAAAACAGTTACATCTCAATATTCAAAAATAATATTTTTTCATAATTGTGTCAAAAATAAATCAAACCCTAATCAATATTCATTTTATAAATAATAAAACTTTAATAAGTGATACAGCTGTATTATAAATGAAAATGCTATAAATAAAGTCTGCCATTATTATGGCAGACTTTATTTATAGCATTTTCATTTAATAGATTTCAATCACAGATTTCTACAATCAATATTTATTATTTTAAAAATAATAAAAATCTTGATTTCACACAATTGTATTGAAAACAGAAATGTTGTAAACAAAGTCTGATATATAATTAAAAAATTTGAACAAAAAAAGCATTATGCACTTTTGTTCAAAACTCTAATCTGCTTATATAGAATATTCTACTTATTTTCTCTGAAATTCATTGTCTTATGTTATTATAAATTTTAAACTTGACTTGAACTTACAAAAAAGTGCAAAAGTGGAAAGACAAGAACAAGCAGAATAAAGTTAAACCTTAGACCATATTAAAAAATAGTAATAAGCATTTGTTCACAATTGTATCAATCAAGTCCTACTCAGTATTTATTGAATTTTTAAATAAAAATTTTGATCAGCAACATAGTTCAGTTTAAAAAAAATGTTGCAAACAAAGACTCAAAACTATAAATTTTGAATAAAAGTGTATTATTAAGTATAAATAATACAAAATATAGTTACCCTCAGCTTAAAAACTAAAAATTATTGCACAACCAAGTATCATCGAACACAAGAACTAAATATTTATTTTAAAATAATAAAAGTTCTGATATGTTACTTAAATATAGTTAAAATAAAAATAGTGTAAACTAAGTTGTTTGATAAATAAAAATGATAAATAAAAACATGCTATTAATGTAAATCATAGTTACACCACTTTAAAAAAAAAAAAATTATGTTCAGGAGAACATAATTTATTCCACATCTAATGAGAAAATAATAAGACTTAATCTTTATCTACAATTTTAAAAATAATAAAGACAGTTGAGGCTGAAAATTCAGGAGTCAAAACAAGATTTCTTGTCATGATTCGGTTTTTGGTATTCAGGGAAAAATAATTTTAAATTTGTGAAAAAATAAATTTTTCAAAGTTTATGAAATATGTATCTAAATGAAAACCGCATTTATTTACTATTTTATGTACATTTAAATATTGATGTATAGTAAAAATTAATTTGTCTTTTGTTGGTAGTTAGAAAAGTCATTTCACATACTTTGGTAAATTTTTCAGGAGTGCTTAAATTTGCAATTGTTGAAAATTCCCACAAAAATAAATACAAATTGTTATGTTTATGAGAAAGAAACATTTTGAAGTCGAGAACTTTGTAAAAGATCTATTTAAATTTCCCAGATTTTAATTAAAGGTCTTTTTATGATATTGTGATTTTTGCAATGGGTTCTTATTTAAGATTTGGATTTCTGTGAAGCATCTTACTTAAGACTCAGAATTTTGTGGAAGGGCTTTTTTTTTATGATTCTAAATTTTGCGAAGCCTACTTAAGTACGCTTCTTTTCTTTTCTTAGATTGATCCCTAAAACTAGAATAGGATTTCTATCAAAACATTAAATTAAAAACCAAAGATACATTTTATAACTCGATAAAGTAAAATATGTCGCTAAACTCACACTTTTACTTGTGCAGTAAATCTAGAGATATTAATTAATTCATATAAATGAATCAATATAACTAGGCAGAAAAACTGTACAAAAATAAACACAGCTGACATAAAATATTTTTATAGGTACCATTGCTTTCTGAAATCACTATCAATAGCTACGATAGACTTTTTAGCTTCAATTTACAAACACACATATATATTTTACATTTTGATACTCGAATATTTCACAAAGAGGGTTTTCACAGCAAATTGAAATGATTCAGCACAGCATTTTAGGTGATAATAGAATGTTCTTGCCCAAGCGCTTCTAAAAAAAGACCCATCGGGGTCTTTTTCAAACCAATTGTTTCAATTTTATTGATGACCTTGTTTCGGATATTTCTCAACCGCATCGAGGAATGAATGAATATCACTGAAAAAAGAACAATAAGTTAAGAAAAATTATGGAATTCACTACATAAAACTCATGATTTGAAAGAATACATTTTTTTATCGATTTCAACCTCTATGAATTGATTAATAAATATAAAATATTAATTTTAGAGAAATATAAACTCCTGATTCTGCTTTGAATGTTAGATATAGTGAAATATAGATAAAGTTCATTGCAAAATATATATTAAATTGTTACCTATTTCAACTGTTATGAATAGATTAATGAACATAACATATTAATAGTTATGAATAGATTAATAAATATAACATATCTAATAAATATAATTAATAAATATAACAATGTTATGAATAGATTAATAAACATAACATATTAATTTTAAAGAAACATAAACTCTTGATTCTGCTTTCGTCACCTATTTCAACCTCTATGAATAGATTAATAAATATAACATACTAATTTCAAAGAAACATAAACTCTTGATTCTGCTTTCGTCACCTATTTCAACCTCTATGAATAGATTAATAAATATAACATACTAATTTTAAAGAAATATAAACTCGTGATTCTGCTTTGAATGTTAGATAAAGTGGAAATAAAGATGAAGTTCATTGTGAAATATAATTTAATGGATATGCATAAGCAGATGTTTATAAGAATGTAAAATTATTAGTAGAAGGTCCAATTTCTAATAACTAGTATATTAAGGAGTATAAATTAGCACTTTGCTGTTATCTTAAATTTTAGTAAAATAGTTGAGGTTGGCTACAACGTTTTTGATGCCCTAATGCTCAGAATTTATGGACCCCATGTGCATAATGCCAATCTTTGCAATTACTGACTATAAATAAGCAGAACAGCTAAACTTAAACACTGTAATTTAATATAAATATTCATTGTTCAAAAGAGATGTATCGACAGTGTTTTCCACGCTAGGAAGCACTACAGGCTCTTTACGGCCCACATTTTTGGATAACTATATCCAGCATATTTTGAGGCCATTTGGCTCCACATGTTCTCTATGTTAACTGTGAACAGAGTAAATAATGAAGACAGTAAATAGTGAAGACAGTACATGTATTTGTATAATAATTCTGTACATAAATTGTGAATAAGATAGTAAACATGTGGTTTGAGAGGTAATAATATTCAAATAAAAATCGTTAAAAAACATTTATTACCGTGTCAATAACAAACTATGAAAAAAATGAACTTTGTCCCATTACTCTACTTAAATACTATCACTAACATATGCATGGTGCACTGCTTGCAACAAATAAAAATAAACAAGTCAAAAGAAGTCAAACAGGACTGCCAAAAAAGTGAGTTCTTTCTAAATATTGCAACCATGTCTACTTTTTTAACACTAGATCTATAAATAGCTACAACAAATTTTTAGTTCAAACTCACTAGGATTACTTAACATCATTAAAATCTTATAAAATGCAACAGATCAGAGCTCAGAAATAATATTATTTATTTTGTTTATTGAAAACAAAACTATCGTGTACAATAAGCAGCAAACTTTCTAATGAGAAGTTGGGAAAGTAAGGAGCTAGAAAATTGTTTTTGTTTCAAATGTAAACAAAAATAAATCTTGAGCTTCTTATCTCAATTAAAAAACACCATCAAAATTTCAAAAATCTGTCTAACACTAAAACTTAATATTAAATTTAGAACACTTTGAGCAGAATTTGTTAAAACAATCAATTTTCTGTTTGATGAAATTTCTCTAATCATAGTTTTATTTGAAATTCTAAATAGATTGTATGTGCAAAAAAATGTTAGGATTTTTTTTTATTTTTATAAACAGCAGTAATTATTAGAAAATTGACCTAAAAGGTTTTGTTTAAAAAGGGGAGATAGCTAAATAGTAAAATCATGTAAAATAGTTGAAGTCAGTATTCCCTAAATGCAGTTGTCTACATGAAAATGTCCCCTCAAAAATTTAAATAATTAAAATTGTAGTATATGGATACTTAAAATAAATACTGATTCATTATTATCCTTCAAAAGATCCTATTTTCTAAGTGCAAAGGCTAAGAATGTATTTTATCTCAAATCTTAGGGAGCAGAAAATAAATTTAATACAACAAATTTAAAAAAATAATTTACATTTAAGCTGTAGTAGGAAATCAGTATAGATTTTATCAATATACATCTTTAAGAAGAAAAAGATAATTTTTAGACACTAATACATGCTACATGTTGATTGATAATTGCAATAATTTTTATTTGTTTATTTACAAATGTTTTTTTTTCTTTCCTTTTTTATAATTTTTCAGAATTTTTGACGGCAGACTTTCTTGCATTAAAAATAGTGTAAAGCTGGGAAATTTAAAAACAATTTTACTCAAGGTCTCAATGATTGGAGAATTAATTCACAATTAACAAGTGTAAAATTTTACATATTTTAAAACATTACGTTTTTAGAATATTCATAAAATGCAAAAAATATTTACAAATAAAAACATAATAAAAACTAAAAGAAATGAAAAAAATACCATTATAATACCTTCCACCATAAAAAAAATCCTAGACTTTTCAAAATACTGCAGGTCATTTACATATAACAAATTTTTTAAAGATAATATTTTTAAAAAATCAATAAAGCATTAAAAATAATTTTTCAAAAAAAAAATAATTTTTTTTTGTTTTTAGAACATGAATAAAAAACTAAGTAAATAAAAATAATTTTAACTAAAATAAATCAATTAAGGAAGACAATAGGAATAACAATTCAATTTTCCTTAAAAAAAAAGTTTCTTACTTTATACTTAATATTTCAAAATATTAGCAGATCACTAAAAAAAAATTTTTTTTTAAATAATATTGTAACAGACATTTAGGTATATCAAAAATTACCTAATTAAGTACAAACATATCCTACCAATGTATACATTTTGAACCAGCAGTTTTTAATAAATAATTCAAGCAATGTTGTTAAGCTATAAAAATCAGGAACAAAAGTTTTATACTATTGTATAAAATAAGATGATTCAAAAAATAAAACCTACAAAGAACAGGCAGCATGATTCCAAACAGAAAAATTAGGACCGATCCAAGCATATAGACCACAAAATAACCTCCTATAAATGTAACATTAGAAAATATTAAAATAGTTAATGTTATAAAAAGAAACAAAATATACATTTACATTGCAAAAATATATGTTAAAAGTTCACTATTAAATAAATTGAAATAATTTTCTTACATACCAAAAATACTTTTATGCATTTTACTTTCAACTAAGTTACAAAAAAAGATATAAAAATTTTATTTTTTTGTTAGTAAATTTTTACAAAAATTTTTTAATGCTTTTTCCTTCATAAGATCAATTTTCTATAATGAAAATGTCTCATTCGTACAGATTTCTCATAGTCACTTTTTTTACACTAATTTCCCATGACCAAACAACAAAAAAATTTAATTAATTAAAAATCATTATGTGTAAAATACCAGACTTCCAACTTTCTATGCTATATGAAGAAATTTCCTTCAGCAGCAGGAAAGTTTAGGTTTTAATGTATGATTCTTTGTTTAGTACATTCGAATTAAAATTATTTTCTCTGCCACTATATGTAAATGATTCAAAGCTTCATATAAAACGGCACTTTGTTCCACCGCTCTTGTGGTGAGGCTTTTAAAATGTTGACAAAATTGCACAAAATTATGAAAGTTTTAGCTTTTGACTGTTCAGCTTTCTCTAAAATATAATAAAGAGATGTGATATTTAATGCACTTCCGCATATCATTTTTCTGACAATAAAGCTCTAAATACTTTTTTTGAATAGACTTTTTCTAATTAGTCATTTCTAAAATTTCAAGTCTACAATAAAATTTTAAACAAAAATCAAAAAACCTCTAATCAAGAATTTGAAAACAAATTATTGAGTTGCAAACTAAAATTAAATTTTATTATGCAAAAAATTCCGCACAAAGCAACAGATAAACATATTTACAGACAAATTTTATAACCAGTGTCCAACAGCAAACCGAATTTTTAATTTTTGACTATACAACTCGATAGCCTTGTAATTTTGAACCCAACTCAGAAGAAAAGGGAACTCCTGGATTAAGCACTGAAATAAACCAGCCATTGTAAAGGATTTTTTGAAGAATATAATCTGCTACATGGAGAGGAAAACCACGAAAACCTCGTCATCACTATGTTCGGTGAGAGTGGGCAGCATATAGCTGCCAACAGGGATAGGGACAAATCCAGTAGATGTTTGAAATAACATAAATTTCATGATAATTCTTGCACAATGTACTTAGTATTTTATACATAGGAAATTTTAGGGATTTTTATAGTCATCAAAATAGATTAACTGCAGTATATTCAGTTATAATTAGCATTAAATAAACTTGAAATGTTATGAATTATGTTTACTCATAATTCTGAAGAGTAATAAGCATTTAATTCATCAAAGTTAAAAGATTTTTTAATTAATTTAAAAAAGGTAATTAAAGGTAAAAATATATAAACTGAACAGTTTAGAACAAAAAAGTTTTAAATTGATTTTTATAAATGAGGATCGCTTCATTACGCATTAGTAATATTCATTTAAATATTTAAGCAAGCAATAATCTCTGGAAAATTCTATTTCAAAAGGGAATTTTTTTAGGAAACTTGCTCAAATTTAGGGAATTTTCTAATATGTACAAAAACCATAAGAATTTTTATTAAACCATTAGACCAGGAGAAACTGGCAAAATCCAGATATCAAAATATTTAAGAATATAATTTACGTACAAACCAGTCATTAGAGGGATTCGAACTTGGTTCACCTCATTGGAAGGCAAATACTCGATCTCCCAAGTCTCTCAAGCCAACTCTTTCATTATTTTATTTTATTTAAATGCATATGAGACCAGGAGTTGAAATGTTTAAATCTGAACTTTACTAGCCCATCCACTTTAGAGCCCTTTTCTAACTAAAAATTGCTTTTTAACTTTTTTAATTGTTAAACCAGAGATGTAAGTTTCCTTCATAGTGGGTGAAAAAACAGGAAAACATCACTCTGGAAGCTTTTTTAAAAATAAAAATAAATAAATATCAAACATTAAAAATAATTTTTTAGGCAGTTTATAATTGCAATCTTATTGAAATAATATTAATTTCAAAACTGCTTAATATATCATTTTTAAATAAGTGATAATTAAAAAGCAACAACTAGTTAAAAAAATTTATGAATTTCTTAAGAAATGAAAATAACTGTAATCCACCGATATTTAAGTAAAATAGTCTTAAATATTACACACAGCAAACCTAATTTCATATAATTTTACGAAGAACTGTTCATTCAATTTTAAGAAGAATTTTATGAAGCATCACAATCAAATTTTACATTAACAAATCACATATGATACATATGCACTACGATAAAATAAACCATACGCTGAATTCACAATCACAAATCACATTAATTTTTATAGTCAAGTGCTATAAGACATGAATACTTAAACCAAATCTCAAATGGTAGATTTTAAAATTCTATACAAAACTACTAAAATTAAAGCGAAAATGGTTATTTTTTAAAAAGGTAAATGCAAAGAACTTATAAATTTCTTGTGTTATCTTTCTTTAAATAAACGCTAGTCTCATAATACTTATGAGAATAGCGTACATTATTGCTAAACAATTGTATTGGACTTTTAGTTTATTTTCCATTTTGTGGAGTTTCTTCCAGGATACTGGAAGAAATAGGTTTCTTCCAGACGAATTGTCAATTCTGGTTTAAGTTCTATAAATTTTGTTCTTACTCTTATTTATTTGTATCAAAAGAAATCACTAAATTCAAAATAAATTTAAATGTATATCACTTGCTTATACTAAATCATAAAGAAAACACTAAGTGAAAATGAAGTTTCCCTTCTAAATGAAAGCCATGTCAAAGTGAATTAAGGGGTGCATTTTTATGGGCTTATATGCATGTGATATTAATATCTTTCCCTGAAATTTCTTGGAATAATAACATAAAGTAAATGTTAATTTCAATTTTAGTTTCTCATTTTTTTTATGCATTATTAGAATTAAATATGTCTTACAAAATATAGAAATTGGTCCAAAAATTCAAAAAACAAATAATAATAACTACATAAATATAAAAAAACCGACAGAAATGTACCACGTTTTAAAGCAACTTTTAAAATGACATTTACAAAAAGATTTTTAGAACATATTCATGAACTAGTATATAAGAATAAATTATATAAATTTAAATTTCTTTTTTAAGTAAACTTTTTAAGATTGCAAATTAGCTGAATAAAATTTGATTTCAGATTTTATGAATCAGGAAATTTAATTCTGTACTAAAAATTATAAAAGAACAATTTATAATTTTACAATATCCATGGCCAATTTACAGAAGATAATGATGAAATTCTTAACTATCAAGAATTAGTATCCAGTATTGACCCTGACTCCAGCAAATTTATTCTTGCCTCTAGGAAGCTTTCAACACAAAAACTTTTCATGGAATATATTTTTCTTTTTTTTTTGTAAAAATAAACTTTTCAGCAAATAATAAATCAACACAGATTGAGAGATGTTAGACTTAAATGTAAATGAATTACCAGAAAAAATCACTAGAAGACTGACTACAGGGTGATCTCGTTTGAATTTTGCTGCAGTTCTTTTTGAGTTAGTCACATAGCAGAATAATCCGAAGGCTGCGAGCATTGCTGCAATGCCACAAAGCATTTTAGCAGGATGAATAAGTCTAAAATAGACAATAATATGTTAAAATGAATTCAAAAGAAACATTTAATAAATAATTTTTACAATTATAGACAAAAAATAAATTTCAAATTAAAAATAATATATTGACAATAGCAAAAAAAATTATCTTACAAAACGAAGTTTCAAAAATTATGTTAGCGTTTTCCGAAAAAAGATATATCAATACTGGTCATTTTAGCATACCTGACAAACATTAAACACACTAACCATCTTACATTTATAAAACTGACTTTTAACTTACACGTTTTTTCACTGAGTAAGTTATTTTCTATGTCTATTTCTATATATATGGGCAGTATGTGCAAGGCAACACTGTTTTTTCTTTGTAATTTCAGAAGATTAAAATAATTATTTAATCAAAAGTTCTTATGGGGAAAGAATTACAGAAATCAATTTAGTATTTTTGACAGAAAATACCGCTTTTTGGTTCGGATTTCATTGATTTTTTAAAATGCGTTTATCACAATGTATTTTTTAATTTCCAATTTAATACAAAAACTAAATTCATAATGACCCTTCAAAAGCAGCCTTATTCGAAAAAAATTCTCTCCTAGTATAAAATATTTCTTTCATCACACTTATCAACAAATATAATCAATATATTTGATGAAAATAATTTTTTTTTTCACCATTCTAAGTCTCTCAAAAGGTTAGAACTGTTAGGCTCAGTAGTTAGAATGCTAAAAGGTGAAATAAAATTAAAAAAATAGTAATAATAATTTTAAAATGGCCCTTTGTTCATTACAGTAATTATAAATTAGGCTCAGTTCAGATTAAAATACCATTTCTATTTTAATCATCATTTTATTATTTTCCTAGTAGAAATTGGAAACATANTTATTTATGTGTATTAATTTATAAAAACCACTATTTGATTGACTTATAATAGAAAGGGCGGCAAACTGGAGATCGCCCCGGGCGGCAAAAGTTCTAGGTACGCCACTGATTAAACCTATGTAATTCTTCTCAGTCCATGATACAATAAATATTTTATGAGCCTTTATGCTTTTATATTTATTCGTTGAGAGTTTTCAAAATATTAGATATTTTTGGTTTATCTGGGAGCAGATAAAATAAATTTTTTTTCACATTTTTTTATTAATTTAATTTTCTTGAGATGGAGGCAACAACCATTTTGTTTTACGTTTTAAAAAAATGAGAATTTGTTCTGGCTGCTCTGAATTAAAAACATCAAAATTTAATCATTTATTATAGAAATTCAATCACAGGATCCATAAAACATTGATAACTTATTACTTTCCTCAACATCATTATACATACAATATTCACTGTTTCAATAATAATAAAGAGCAATCTACCTGTAATAATAAATACACTATAAATAATTTTATGAGTAATAGCTAACAAAAAATTGAGCTAATTCCAATTCCTTTTGAATCAGAAATCAAGTGCACACAGAAATTTAACCATAAATATTCATAAATTTAGTAAACATTATTATATTTTCCCCAACAGGTGAAAGTATAAAATTAATGAAGGTAACTTTAGAAATTTTGCTGAGTTTATTAAATATGGAATAACAAAGAGAACGAACACCTTTATTTTAATGGCATGATAAATGGGAACATTACAATCATTTCCTTGATAGCAGAATTTGATCTTTGATAACAAAATAGAAGAGAATATTCAGCGTTCTTTAAAAAGCTACTACTTCCACAACTACACACTAACGAATGTAAAAACTCTGATTAAGTTTAAATGGAAAAATTTGAAAGTTTAATTGGCTTCAAAGGAAGATGAAATTTGGGAAGATTTTCAGTATTGTGATCTGTGGCACACTAATAACTAAGTCTTGGCAACTTCTGAACAGTGGTCTGCAAAAAAGTAAAAAAAATAAACATTACAGAAGGTGACAATTTTGATGGGTATAAGGTGATAATTCCATATCGTGATATGTTGCGCCAATTACAATTGCCAAATAGATTTTAAACTTGAAAATTTTTTTAAAAAAAGCATGTAGATGTCTGTCTGGGGGTGGCTAAGAGTTATACCTTTCAAGTTGATCCCTTTCTGTGATTTTTTCTTTAGTTTCTCGCAGGCCACTGCCCAGAAGTTGCTAAGAGTTGGCGATTATTCTACCACAGATCACAATACGGAAACCTCTGCAGGTATAACTCATAGCCAACCACTGGGCAAATCTCTACATGCCATTTTAAGAAAAATTTCATGTTTAAAATCCATTTAGCGCCTTGGCGATTGTTGTAGTTTGAGCAGCAGATTATGATACGGGGATATCCCTTAAAATTTCCTTAATACTCATGTTAATTACATAAAATTGGCTACTGAATTTTTAAATAACTGCACAAACAATAATGATAATGCAAGTTTGAAGGAAAATGTAACTATCGAATTAGAGAAAAAAAATCGACATCAAAGAATTAAAATAACTAGGAAATACTGAAATAATAATTATTACTTATAAAACATCAAAACTATGCGATTTTAAAGAATAAACTAATAATAAAAATTAATGGAGATTTGGCATTAATATATCGTTTGATTCATTGGTATATTAGTGATACTAAAACTCACCCAACAATAAGAAAAACAATTACAGACATAAAAAAGTAATTTGTCTGGTAGTAGAGTAAATTATTGCACACTCGATTTGCCCATTTATCCATGTCTTTGACATTAGGTATCTGAAATCTTGCTGATTCCAATAAGAAATCATCCAGACTTCTCATAGGTGCAATTTCAACTGAATTAGACATTTTTATGTCAATAATTTTCAACTATGTTGAATTATCACCTTTTTTTATTATTAAACGAAACAATTAAATACTATATGCAATAGCGAGGCAGAAAGTATTATACGGCACATAAATTCTGAAGTATTACAATCACAGCTGTCAATTTCTAAATCGAGCTAGCAAAACAAAAAGTAAAAAGGGTGTGTAGAGTTCTTGTTGCCACCACAAAAAAATATTTTATACTTGTTTCTTAAATTAGTCTTTACTAATAAGGAGAACAATTAAAAATTTTGATTCTATAAATTATATGTCATTCCATATAATTACATAATTTGTTTACCAACATTATGAGAACTTGTTGAAAAATATCGCTTGAGTACATCTCAACTCTAAATTCAAAACAAAACTCCTCCCATTTACCAAATTTGCTACTTCGTTTGTAATCTTAAATTCTTAGAAATTGACTCACTCAATTTAGATCCTTCATTCAGGAAATTTAATCACGAACTTCTTGATAGATTTATTTTTAAACTTGCACTGATCATTAGAAACAAGCAAGTATGGTTGTTTTATTATGTTTTTACTTATATTTATCTTACAAATTTTCGTTAAACGAGTGGTTTAAAGCCACTTGTATATGAAATTTTTTTGTTTAGTTGAAAGTAAACATTACCCATTTTTTTTACCGTTCTGTGTTTATAAAATATTAATTTCAACCTTCGCAATGATTTTTTTATTTTAGGTGTATTTTTTTTTATTTTTGGNATATTTTGTACACGTTATTTATGAACAAGAAATCGGAACCGGTTACTTAATAACTGATATATCTTAACCGATAAGTTCTAAGGAGTAGTCAGGGAATTTGAGCCAATGAGAAGGAAGAGGCGTAAACGTCATGATCCGAGGAAAACTGGTTCCCTCCGCCAGAAACGTAATCTTCCTTCCTCGGCGACTCTTCGCCAACTTGCCGTAGTTATGATAATATCCCCACCCCTTGCGTATCCTCTTAAATTTAGGCCGAAGGTTAATAGATTATTTGATGAAATGTGATTTTGTTCGTGGGAAGTTTCATATGGTTAATGATTTATGCAAACTTGTATTGCTTTTTTTTCTAATGAACTACTAAGGTTCCGCATGAATATTTGAGAGCTCGAAAACATTCGACATAAGGATACAACCTTGAATGCGGATTTCCATAAGAGTAAGTGACGCATATCTAGGAACTATTTCTTAGAATATCACATTTGGCTGAATGATTTTTTTTTTTTTCATTTTAGATGCATTTGTTTTTAACTATTGTAGTTTTTCTCTGAAGACAACTATTTTTAAAACATAATTTTAAGTTTTGAAAAGGGGAAAACCCCTCACGTATCCTTTTAAATTTAAACCGAAGGTAATTGTTCTTATTTTATATAATTTTTTAAATGCATTGACTTGTTTCGTTTGGTATAGCAATTCTAACTTATTTGATGAAATGTGTTTTTGCTCGTGGGGAGTTCGTTTCATATCGTGGAAGTCTCGGATGGTTATTGATTTATGCAAACTAGTATTGCTATCTTGTCTAATGAACTACTTAAGCCCTGCATAAATGTTTTAAAGCTTTTAAATATTCGTCATAAGGATTCAACCCTGAATGAGATTTCGATAAGAATCAGTGACACATATCTAGGAACTGTTAATTGGAAAACCAAATTGTTACCAAGCTAACAGGTTTCAAATTTCTGATTTTTATAGTATTGAAAATACAAAAAGTATTAATAAAAACAAATAAAAAGTCACAACATAAGCTACAGCTGAAATGTGCACAATTGTTATAATATTTAATTAACCTCACATTTTAATCAATATAAGAATTCATTAATGTAGTTATGCAGTAAAAGAATAGATTTCAAGCTAGTAATTTAGTTTGTTCTTAATTTATAATCTACTGATTTCATTTGCCATTTTGTTTTATCACATTTCAAAATTCTGATTTTGGTTTTAAAATCATTACTGGTAAAGTATTGGGACTATTTTTATATAAGAACATCAATATGTAGTGTAGTGCCTATATTTTTATAAATGTATTGATTATCATTAGATATGCTAATGTATATAAAGTGAAATGAATTTTTAAATTTCAAATTATAATGATTTCCAAATTTTATTTTTTAGGAAAATGAGTTGTCTAAGCTTTATTTTACTAGGAGCCGTTTGTTTTATTTTGGCACCTGAAGGTAAATATTTTAATTATAATTTTATAACTTCTGTTTAATTATTCATTTATAAAGAGATTTTTTTTTGTTTAATTCAGTCTGTGTTCAGGGCAATGTTAATTTAATTTTAACTTGGTTTGCATAAAAATAAATTTTAATGATTTTTACTAATAGTTAAATGAAAAAATCTGTGACGATGTGGACTGATGATGAAATCTGAGTAAATTAAGCTTAATTTGTATGTTATTACTTGGATCAAACAATTTTTATTCTATGTGTTTATTTAGAGCAATCAAAAGTTTTTTGCTTATTGTGTATTAAAATTATTTCAAATTTCTTTGAGTATACCAACAAATTTATTCTTTTCATCTTATTCTGGTAGAAAGTGAAAGTTCCACATCAGACAAAAGCAACGGCTTTTCTTTATGATCTAAAAGAATATTGTGTACTTGATAATTTTATAAAACTTTGTAAAGTAAAATCTACAAAGTTATTCCTTTTGAAGGAAAAATATTTAGGAATTAAATGCTGTTACAAACTCCATTTTGAACTTAAAATTTTTCTTTACTTTTTTTATATATAAAATTTAGATTCAATGTTTTTGTTTCTATAACTTTTTATAAAATTCAGAAACTTAAATATCCTTTGACTGCTAAATAAATTTTTTAAAAAAAGAATAAATCATGATCTTAAACTAAAGGTGCACCACCTGCTGCCCACAGACTGCTGCCCACCTGCTGTTCATGTGCAGCCTGCGTGTGCTTTTGAATGCACTAAAAATTTCTTTTAATTTGTTTTTTGTTTAAACATTATAATAAATTTTCTTTCATTAAAATATTTAGTTCAAATTTATATTACTCTATAATAGGGGTGCACAAGCTATGGCCTGCAAGCCGCATGCGGCCTGCGAGAGTAACTTATGAACACAATTAAAAATTTCTCTTAATTTAGTTTTTGTTCAAACATAACTTTTCTTTTATTAAAATATTTAATTAAAATTTATATTACTCTATAAAATGCTTTTTTGCACTTTTATTCTGTAGGCTTCTTTTTGTTAAGAATTTATATCTCCCCTCCCAATATTTCCGTATATATATAAAAATTAATTATTGTGAAAAATGGAAAGTTTTTTAAAACAATGTATCAGTTTTTTAAGTTTTAAATAAATTCAAATAATTAATTTTCTGAAAATATGATAAGTTTACTGATAAAAAAATTTGGTGCTTAGAGCTTACATTAATGTTTAGATAAAAAAATTATCATATTTGCCTCTAACATGATTAAATATGTGTGCGGCCCTGCGATAATCTACGTACTGTACGATTGGTCCTTGACTACAATAAGTTGTGCACCTCTACTCTATAAAATGCTTATATTTTTTTTTCACTTGCACATTTTGCTTCTTTTTGGTTAAAATTTATATATCCTTCCTCCCCCAGTATTTATGTGTATATATATTTATATTTGATAAATTAATTATTGTGAAGAAAGGAAAAAGTTTTTTTAGTTTTAACTAATTAGAAGTATTTAATTTTCTGCAAATATGTTATTAAATTGATAAAAATATTTAGTGCCTAGAACATTAATGTTTAGAAAAAAATTACTAAATATGCTTGCGGCCCTTCATTAATCTACCTTCCGTACAAGTGGCCCTTCACTCAAAAAGGTTGTGCATCTCTTAGTTAAGTTTAGTGCTGATACTTTTTTTTTTAATGAGATAATTTTTAATGTTCATTGTATAACCAGGGGTCTGCTAAACAGAAATTTGAGTCCGTTAACGAAACCTTCACAAAATAATTTATCTTTTAATCGGACCCTTACAAATTTGTTTATCTTCATTATTGTTTTGTTAATCGAATAAACCCTTCCCTCCAGGGGGGGGGACAGAAAGACAAACTAGGTTTCCCTAAGTTTAAATTCCAAATGTAGTATTCTAAGAAAATATTTCTACTTTTACAAGCATCGTGTGCGTAAATCACAATTTTTTTTTGTATATAAATAATTAATCAATTCATATTTATTCATAAAACTAATTAATAGAATATTATGTAAATAAAGATTCATTTCTGGCAATTTTTTAAATAAAATATCATAAATTTAAAAATTGTTTAAGTTTACTTAATGCATAACACATTAAAAGTGATACATTACTAAGTTGTGTTATTTGAAATATATCAATTGAAATTATTAAAAATGTGAGTGATTTTGTTTCTATTATTCATCCGAAATGAATATTTTGTGTTGAACAGTAAAGGCTAAATACCAAATATTTGTATGTTACATCTCTAATTTAGTAGCAGCAATTGTTGAGCAGAATCTTGTATCTATTTACAATTTAGAAACTTCTTGAAAAGGTTTTTAGAAATTTTTGCAATAACAGAACCTTATTTGCACAAATTCACAAAAGCAGGACCTTGGTTGAAAGACTGTGACTTAACACTTATTTTATATTCACAAATTATGAATAGTTTTTTCACAATTTTACAAAAATAGGACTTTTTACGAAATTTCTGGACAGACCCCTGATAACTGTACTTTTAAGTTACAGTTGTCAAAAAAAATTTTAATTTTATTTTTTTCTTTTTAAGTAGCAATGGCTCTGGAGTGTTCACAGATGGGATTAACATCTATGACTTGTCCTTTACCACTTGTGAATGATGACGATGAAATATTTTGTTGCGAAACTTCTGCAAAAGGTCTGCATAAATGTTGTGACATTGAAGAGTTCATGAAACAAAAGTAAGTTTTATCTTGAATTTTGTTGCAAGGCCTTGTTTTTCTTTTTGTAATTTACAAATTTTTCAGAACTAATGGTTCTTCGATTGAAAATAGAAACGTTGCATAACCAAAAATGAAAACATTACATTTGTAAATTCTTATATTGTTTTTTATACTCACAAATATTTCAAAACCACACAATCAGTATTGAGTATATCGGCAAGGAGTTTTAAAATCAGATCATAGCTCAAAATGCTTATTTACACGAATGGAGCCAAGCTTCGAGCTATGTCCAGGTTTAAAGACTTATCAATGATATACTAGACATTCTGCATTCTCTATTTTTTACATGTCTTTTTTAAATCCTATTTAAATATAGTAAAGGTTTTAAGTTATGAAAAGGAATTGATTTGATAAATTATCACAGTAAAGGTGGAAATTAAAAACCAGAATGTATAATAAAACCAAAAAGTTGTGAAAGGTGATAACTATAAATTTCTTTCTATATCATTCAAAAAGTGAATTATTTTACAATTTATAATTTTTTTCACTGATTTTAAAAATAAGTCACAATATTTTTATAACATTAATATTTAATTTTTCACAAAAGGTCTAAAACTATTAATACTTATAACTGTAATTATGAATTTATATAATGTATATTTGTATTGTAAAGTTTGTTGAAGAATGAAATGCTGAAAAAATGCTTTATTCAGGGTATACATAATAAAATAAAATTGTTAATGTTTTTATCTTCAAAATTGATAATGATCCTTTAATAAAATTCTAAGTATAATTTTTTTTTATTACTTTGTTTGGTTTCAAACAAAATTTCTGAGGCAGAAAATTTTTATTGTGTTTAAAGGCATTCATAGATGTTGTATTAAGTTCAAGCAATCATTGCGTAGGGGAAGCGAAAGACTGCAATTTTTTCTTATAACCTATTTTTAATTAATGTAAATAGTAAATCTAAAGCAAGGCCTCTTTTTTTTTCCAACTCTTTTATAACAAGAAAATAAAGTGCTTTCTCACTTCGAAATTCAATACAATAACTTCCATAATGTTTTCCCCTCAATATTGTGATATTCTGTAAAGCAATAAATAAACCCTTGTAAAATGTTATTTTCTCCCTTTTTTGATGATTTTCGTTTTTAAGTACTGAAAAAAACTTTTATTTTGTCTTACTTAGCTATTTTTCAGACTTTTCTAAAAGGAGAAGACTTGCTGTTGATTTTGTATTTATTCCAATGTAAAAATGGCTTTTGTTCAGATTTCAATATGACCACATCCTTCAAATGAAATCTCTTCCAACGCACCCAAAAGTGTTTCCCTTCTTGAGGTTACAGGTGTAACTTTCCTATCTGATTTCTTTAAAGAACAAAATTAGCAGACATCACTCGCCTCATGGCGACTAAATAAAATGAAGTGGCTACCAAAAAAATTACCATCATTTACCACTCACTCGCAAATGCCTCTTTTTGTCATTTGACACCTCATCCTCACCATTCTTTAGTTCTTAGAAATGCACCCCCATGAACATAAACATTTTCGATAACTTCTGTTTATTTTTTTCATTAAATGCTTAACAGCAAGTTTGCTAATGAATTTCCTATAAGGCAAAATTTAAGCACGATAAAATTAAATCCTAACTTTCTTTCAATGTATTTAAATGAGAGGATTTTATTTCTTCATAATTGTCTGATATATTTTTTCTAATTTTTTCCTCCTTTTTTATTGACTATTGATTTCAACATCTTTTCAGATGTGACTGACTTTGTTTTTTTTTATTGAAGCCATAAAGTAGAATTAATTTCTGACGAAAAGAAACTCCTCTAAGAGTAGGCTGATGTTGATAATTTTGTTTATTTGCTGTTTTTGTTTACTTGTTTTTGTTTATCTGCTATCATCTTTGGCATGCACATACCAAAAGACAATGCAGAAGATACAGACAAGGTGCAGAAGATTAAAAAAAAGAAAGAATGAACAATGAAAGAAAAAATTAACAATGAAAAATGAGAGATAAAACATAACTGAGAGCAGCAATTCTAACCTTAATATTTTATGTTAAGATATTTAAATTTTCAGAGATAGTCATTGCACTTCATTCTGATATAGAAGTTACTGATAGTAAAAGGAACAAGTTTAAAATCAAACCTATTATATATATATATATATTTTAATTATTTTTCCCGTAAACATGATTTGTTATAATATCTGATTACTTTAATTGCATTTTTTTAAACTAAAAAAATATTTTTTTTATAGTGCTTACGTAGTAAAATCATTAAGATACTTGTAACACAAAAAGTGGAATGTGGAAAGAAAAGAGGTAGCCGCCAACAAATTTACCTCTATCACCCACCAGATAATTCATGTTGGAACCAGATAAATCAAAAATGACCACTCATATTACATTAGCAAATCTTTATAATTTAGATATGTGATGTTAGATTATTCTATGTAAAGCTCTTCCCCTTTAGTCTTAATAGTGTTGGATTTTTAAACTAAGCATTTTATTAAATTTATTATTTTATTTTATTAATATTAAAATTATAAAAAAAGTTGTATTCCCAAAATATGTAGGTCCTCAATATAGCAATATATCTCTCCAAGGGTATATTTATTTGGTCTCCTAAATATTGTTGTAATGCAGTTTTACTGTTTAAGTATTTTAAGTTTTTTGTAAGAATTTTAAAAATCAGGCCATGAAGAAAAACCAAATGCTTTAGCCTTTCAACTACCATGTCCAAGTTGAAAGTATTGAGACGCTTAGAAACTTGGGAAAATATCTGTTATTCACGATTTATTAAAATGTGAGTTTCGTCAAGAGTTAAACTAATCCTACAATAATTTGACAAAAGGGAAAACCGCTAAATTGGCTCATGCATTAAAGCAATCTTATAGTGCTAATATGTAAGTAAATGAATATACAATTGTTGCTAATAAATCATTGCACATTTAAATTGTATGCAAAGTTAGCTTTTATATTGATTGAAAAAGTTAAAGTTTATAAAAGTTATAAGATTGAATTAAAAATAAGTATAAACATCAGAAATTTGTGAATTTAAAAAGCTAGGAAATATGTAATGAACTAATATCAACTACAGAACTAACAGACAGAACGAAACAGAACTAATATCAACTTTGAAAGTATTTCCTGAACAGTAGTATATCCTTGCTGCTAAATAAGGCACATTGAACCATGTAACAAAAATATATTTAGGTGAGAATATAGGGTGTGTTTTTTTTAATAGGTTAATAAAATAAGTAATCTGTTATTTAAAAAAAAATGAAAGATAATCAATAGGGGAAAACACTTTTTGTTTTGTATTATTGACCTGATTTAACAGATTAAAGCCTAGTCTTAGGACCTCATAACTTTTTTTATCATATATTGTTTCTTAAATAGAAGAATTTTAAATTAAAAAGTTGATAGAGTATAAATTTGAATATATTCCTAACACTCAAACCTATCCTTTAGACATGTTGCTAGATTCTAAATTGACATTAAAATTAATGTAAAAACATAAACTGAACGTTGATTCACTGGTGAATCATAAAATAACATGGCTCCTTCTCACTGGAGCGACTGCATTAGAAAGTTCCCACTTTTGTGTCGTTTAGTAGTACAGTCTCTAGACTCAAATGAACCATGTAATCCACAGGATTAAGATCTGGCGAGTAGGATGGGCATTCTTCAGATGATATCATGTTTGAAAAATGCTCATTCACCACTCTGGTCTATTTGGTCTTGTTAGCTAATGCATAGTCCTGTTTAAACATCCAGTTTACATTATTTTTAATTTATTGCAATTCTCCAAAATTTTATGGAGGCTAGCATATGCTTTGTAGCCAATATTTTCGTATAGATTCTTTATATACCATAAAAACTAAATTGTGTATTTGTAGGAATTATGTGTACTTCTGTTGTATATTAATTTAATTATATTTTTAAATATGTATATTTTTATAGCTCTGGTATATTGGCTGGTATAGTAATTGCTGCTGTGGTGATTTTCTTGATCATTACTTTGTGCTGCTGCTGTTTCTGCAGTTGCTGTTGTTTGGCCAAACGTCGAGTTCAAAGAGGACATGTTCTTTATGGTTAGTTGCATCTGTGTATTGGTTTAGGTAAAAAGCTATTTGAATATATTTCAATAAAGAATTTAGATGCGCAAATTTAAAATTAACCTTATTCTGATGTTTAAAAATGTCATAAAATTTAAAAAGCACTTTTATTAGTGCTGTGAAACCTCAGTAAAGTTAGTATGCTAAAGGAATTCTTAAAATATAAATATACAATGTATGTGCAACTTAGATATCTTGCATTCTATGTTTTATCCAACTGGGGAAAAAAATAGAAGGAAAACTTGTTTTAAGTGGTATCAACTCCTCAGATCTTAATCTGCTCTTAATTTTTAGGTGCATAAAGCATGAGCCCTCAATGAAAATTTTAGCATCCTGCGATAATTTAAATGTTTCTTTGACTATTTACTAACAAAAGTTTAAATGTAACTACAGCAAAATGAGAAAGTTTTTCCAATTCTCTATTCAATCAAAATTCAATGTTAATGACATGTATCGAAAATCATGTATTTTAAATCAAACATTTATCTTTGAACTATGGTCAAAATTTGTAGGAGTATGATACTTATTAGATTCATATTATGAAATCTCTCTTAATTACGATATGTATTACAAAGATTGTGACAATAAATTGGTCTCTCTCCTTAGACTATAAAAAAAAAAAAAAAAAAAAAATTCGCCCCATTCATAGGGGCGTATCTGTTTTAAAAAGTGCTTAAAGGTACTTATTTTCAATTTTTAATATAAATTTATTAGTTTTCTTAATTTGCTTAATTCTTTACAAATTTTTTATAAATTCAGTATGATCAATAATATTAATCTTGTTAATGTTTTGTTGTATATGCTATTATAAATAACATTTATTTAAATTTAAAAAAATACAGTTGATTACCTTTTTAAAACAATAGTTAGACTAATTAGAATTTTGAATTAAAACTTTTTTCAGAATGAAATGAAATAATTAATTTAAAAAAATAGTATGAGCCACTCAATATTGAATATATTTGAAGTTCTGTATAAATTGCTTTTATACTGGCTAAATTACAAGAAGAGAGTTCTTAGTCAGAAACTAGTTATTTTATCATGATCATGTAAAGTCTTTGAAAATTATTTTGTTAATGTATACGGGAAGAACTTTCAACAATAGGAAGAAAACATTTTTATCAGCGTGCATATCATAATTATATTTTTTAAAGTGCTTAGAAATAGTTGTTAAGTGCTTAGAAGGTACTTGTCGTTTGTTGAAAAATTGGGCTGCGCACCCTGATTCTCCCATGACAGATTCTGTTTAGGAGAATGTTTCCCCTCTGGAATGCTTTATAAATAAACTTTATTTAGGGGCTGAATAGGTTTTTGAAAATCATCCGTAATGCTTGGTTTCAGGCCTGGTGTAAAATGTCTTAAAGTGAAGCTTCACTGAATATCTATCACTTTATTGCTTCTGAAATCCGTGTTTTTTTTTTGTTTTTTTTATTAACATTTTATCCTTATTGGAACAAATTACTCAAAATTAATTAAATATTCAATATAGTTTATTCAATGCTTTGAATGTAGTTTATATTCAAAGCCTATTTTAAATAAGAAAGAAAAAGAGCTTGTTATTTGTAGTTATTAAAAATATTTTTTGAAATAAATAATTCTCGTGAGCCGACGGTGCATTCTAAAAAGCATTGTGGACAATATAGATTAAAATAGCTGGTCTTAGGATGAGATATTTACCATTAATAATTGGAGTATACATCTTTATTTAGAATCTAAAATCATTTTCATTTTGTGTCTGGTGATATAAATATCCATTACTTTAATTGTATGTATGTCTCTTTGTCCAAGTTGCAATTAAAGTCACTAACTAAACGCTTAAAATTGTCATTATTTTTTTAAATTCCATAACTTATTGTATTTGTGGAAAACTAACATTCATATGAAACTAGAAGAATAAAATTTCTTTAATAATAACTTTTTTCCGTCTTTGAAATTTGGATATGATATTTGTGCAAGGTTCGTAGTTGTCCATTGTCCATATTTTCCTGATAAGAAAATATTTTGTTCTTATTATTTTTCTTTTTTAAATTATGTTCCAGATTTTTGTTTGTGACAGAAAATTACATTTTCTAAGATTTGGAATTTATATCCAATACGTTTTTATTTGAATTAATTATGCGATTAGAAATAGACCAAATTCTACAATACCAATGTAGGGACTGTCTACTAATTACTTACACGGTTCAGGCAATTAGCCTTACCTATGGGATTCATTGTTTCAACCTCTTCAGGAAGGAATTAAATCATTAAATGAAATGGAAATTAAATTGACAATTTTACATTGTGAAGTTTTTATGATTTCAAGATTGATATGCTTAATTATTATTTTTGTCTAATGCAGTAACAAATCTTGTAAAATGGAGATTTATAGTTACACAGGGTGCGTAGCGTTTTTAAAAAGTGCTTAAAGGTGCTTATTTCCGATTTTCCTTTTTCAAAAGCCTTTAAAGGTGCTTTTTAAAAAGTGCTTAAATTTCCCTTTTCGAAAATGAGATTTTTTTCTTTACCATATTTATTTTCTCCACGAATCATGCAAAAAGACATTATTCTATTCAGAATGTTTAAATTAATTCAACCTCAATCTATTTCAGTGTACCATCGGTCCGTAACGTATGAAACCGCCATTCGTTTTACCTGATTCAAAATTTCATGATTTTTGACAAATGTCAAAAACTATGCCCAAAAAAAAAATTTTTTTTTTTTTTAACATGACGGTTAGAACCGTCAATAGTCAAAATCTTGCAAACCCTGCATAATTATATTTCTTCTAAAGTGCTTAAAAGGTGCTTTTTTGTTGAAAAATTTGGCTATGCACCACAAATGTTTATTTGTAAGGCTGGAATTTTAACTTTCATTTACATAAGCAAAGTTTGTTTTAATTCGCTTGCTGTACTACCAAATTAAAGGCTATCGTTGCTAGTGGGGCTAACTTACAATTAGGCCATTATAAAATAATCCATCTATATGATAATACATTTCAATTTTTGAACATTGATTAAAATATACGTAGTTGATTCTAGAAATAGTAGTTGATAGAGAGGAGCTCAGTATAGAAATTATTTAATTACTTTAACCAGTTGGAAGTTTTATTTATAAATAATTAAATCTGTAAGCTCTTATGTTAAAATTGATTTTTAGGAAAGAAATTATTAAAATAATATGCAATTATAAATGTTTGGAATTTTTTTCCTTCAGTAAATGGAGAAAGATATTTTAAAAAAATAATAAATTTAAAGGAAACACTGGTAACTTCATGTGATTTTATAGTGGTTAATATTAAGTGGCATATTCAATGTGTTTTCAAATTCAGTTACAAATTTTAATTATGTATTGGTATAAGTTTATGGTCTAAAGTAGAGCAAATTGTTTTTCTTAGTTAGACGTTTACCTTTTTAAAAGTTTCGACAAAGTAATGTTAAGATTAAGAAATGTTTCTCGAGTTGATTTTTAAAAAAAGAAAAATTTATATTTGTGGGCTAATCTCATTAAAGTTTAACTGAGAATAGTCAAGAAGAATTCTTTATAAAAGTGTCTGGTTGTATTATAAATGTCATTATCCTGAATGAACAATTCAAGTTTTATCATACAGCGCTAGGGTGATTGCATATCAAATCTACCAATGGTTAATATGTCTGGTCTTGGTATTTTGTTTAATTTTAGCTCAGAGATAAAACTAGCAAGTTAGATGAAAAATACTAAATATCTAATTTTTTGCACTGTTAGTTTCTGCTTTGTAATTTTTTGAAAGTTCACAAATTTTTGAAGTTTTTAAAACAGTTGTAACTTGAGTACTACTTACCAACAAAGCTGAATTTTGTTCAGTTTTTTAATTGAATTTTTTTTAAATATTTAACATAGCTAATAGCTAGATTGTTTTTAAAATTTGAGAACTTAATTTTAAAAGTCAATCAAAAAAATTTTTAAAATTTATTTCTGGGAATGTTAATGCCAAATTAAAGAATGGTATTCCTTTGGAACCAGATTGAGAAAAACAATACAAATAATTTGTAGTTTAACAATGACATAAACCGTATGGTAAAATCACATGACATAAAACTATAGTTAAAAAATAATTCTGGTGAAAAGGTGGCTTTTTCATGTAAAATATATAAACTTCATTTACATTACTTATTGCAATTACCTGTTATAATCAAATTGTAATACATGTTCCCTTTTTTTTTTTCACCTCATAATAAAATAAGTTTTAAAACGAAATGAAGTGGCTTAAGTAGTAGATTTGTTCTGACAATCAAGCAAAGTAGCTGATGTGGGGGTGTATTAGCAACTGTTGACCAAAAGCCAAAAAAAAAAAAAAAAATTATTAGCTGAAACAGCTTTAATGGTAAAAGAATTTTATGATGATTAAATGATCGGGCAAATGCCTTGAAAAAAGGGTTATGTTGGAATGGGTAAGAATGCTGTTGGTAAGCTAATTATTTTACAAAAAATATTTATTCCGGAAAAATTATAGACTTTTAAAATCAAATTTTTCTAACTGGAAAATTTGCTTCACAAAGTTGAACAGAATGAAATAAATAAAATTGAATCAACAAAAGCCGTATGATCGTTGGTGCCAGTGGCACTTACTCTGTGTTTGTCTGTACAGCATGTCAAAATGCTAAATTAATGATAGCTAGTGATAATTTACAAAAGATTACATTACCTGAAGCTGAATATCAATGTTCCGACGGGTCAAGGAAAACTTGGAATTGTGAGGAAATTTTATTTTGCCTCTAATAATCAAGAAAAATTGCAATTTACAAAGAAGAAAACTAGAAAACTCTTGCATTATACCTGGAAAATGACCAGTTTCAGAATTGCCAGTAACAGTAATCAATTATTGAGATACCTGTTAAATAATTTTGACATCTATAACAATTTGTTCTAAAAATTTCACATTTTATTGAAAATTCTATGCATATATCCTCATTCAATGATACTTCTTTGCTCACGAAATCTTGATATTTGACATTACAAATAAAAAAAAATCTTAAGTTGTCCAATGAAAAATGGCATGGTATGTATGAAATATAGTTTTGATTTTCAATGAAATTTTCCTGATATGCCTGGTAAAGTCATGGAAATTATTTTTCTAATATTGAGTGGGAACCCTGAATATCCATTTTAAACTTACCTAGAATGCATAGTAAAATCATGTGCAATCCACTGTCACAGTTTTGCTTTTTAAATGAATGCAGCAATTCTCTGTAAATGGATGGCTTTAACGAAGCTTTACTGATGTGTTTTGAAGAGAAAATATCAAAAAATATAATTTAATATAATACCATGTGAATATCATTATAAAAATAAGCACAAAACTGCTTAAGGGAATTGAATAAAATGTTCTCTTTTTTTTTCAGAATAATTACACCTATTTATTAATATTTGCAATAAATAATGAAATTGTTTTGTTTAGAGCTATTTCACCAATGAATTTATGTTGACAATTTTAGTTTATTTGGTAATTGATATTAGGTAGAGAAAAATATTTTTTTTTTTACTAAATAGTTTTATGTCAGTGTTAAACTAGAAATAATTATTTATTTTCATTATGATTCCATAATAATAACTTGAAATTTTGCACATTCGTTGCTAAAAAAAGTTTAAACATTTTTTTAATTAAATTTGTTATAAAATGTCATTAAAAACTGAATGACAAAATTTAAAATTTAGGTCTCTAGGTCAAATGGTACTAAAGTTACAGCTGTTTAAAAATTAGAAAATTGTAAAAAAATAATAATAATAATAATCTTTAAAAATGTATATCTCTAGAATTAATGGTTAGAAAATATGAAACTTGACATCTTCTACCAGCGCTACCATATTAATTTAAAAAGTTATGTTTTTAAAAAGTTATGTTTTCTAATAAACTTAATTCTTTTAGGCTTATTGCAGTGAGTCAATTTGTTGAGATGTTTTTTTCTCTTTTAACGTATGAATATTTTACGCAAACTGTCTTTTGTAAACTTCTTATTAATATTATTTGAAATAATGTTTTTCCACTAATTAACTGTAATTCATAATCTCTTGTTATATTCCCTCTGAAACTTTAGTTCAATTTTCTAATGTCTTTCTCTGTCACTGTTAAATTTCTGTATTTCACTTTTTCTTCCCTTTATTTTTTTTTTAAATAACTTAACCATCCCTCCTTTCCTGTAGGAAGTAACCTGTAACTTATCTTTTGAATCTTTTCTCAGAAATTTAGGTGGGTAGAATTTTCTTAATATGTATTTCATATTTTTTATTCAGCATAAATATTACCATAAAGTGGTTTTACTTTGCGGCACTTTTTTTTTTGTGGATATATCATTTGAATTTAAAATGTCCAGCTTTAAATGTGTGTATCAATATATATATATAAATAGAGAAACCTGCCCAACTCCTTTAAAAAAGGGTAAGCAAAAAGTCTATTCTAAATAGCAAGGAAAATTGTAAGTTTTCTGTGTCACAAAATCACCACTTTACAACGTCTAATTTATCACCTTAAAATTGATTGAAACATTATTCCTGCATGTAGTAAACCTTACTATCAAGAATAGACACTTATTTGTTCAAATATCTATTTTAAAAAAATTCCATTTCTATTTTTTATAAAATAAAAGCTATAATTATTATGATTAAACTTCATAATCAGCATCTAACAAAATATTCGAAATTTCTTTTGGAAGTAGGATCTCATTTTATCTCTTGGTATCTAACCAAATCAGGTAGTTCAAATATATTGCCAATATATATGTCCAATAAATTTCCTTACTTTGGCCTTAATTAAAATGTTACCTCTCAACTCTCGCCAACATCTGCAAGCATCAAAAGAACCATAATCAGGTGCAATTTTTGTAAATTAATACATTTAAGTTGAGCTGTTGTGCCTCAGGGGATAGAGTGTTCACTTTCAATGAGGTGGACCAGATTCGAATCGCAAGCATAACTGGTCAATTGAAATTCAGCACCCTTCTTGCACCGACCATAGTGCTAACGTAAAATATCCTCAGTGGTAGACGGATCATGTGTTAGTCCCCTTGCTAACTGTAGTTCCATCAAAAAGTTCTCCATGAGGGCAAATTTCTCCCAATGTTTGATCCAGGAGCTTCCTTGTCTTCTGGTTTGGACTCAAAATTACATGGCTACAAATTTGAACATTAGTAGTTAGAGTACCAAGAGGTCGTGGATTCGATCCCTGTTGTCCGAAGACTCCCCGTGTAGTAAATGGTGACTTTTTTCACGTTAAATCTGTTGAGTCACAAAGTCCTCCATGTTTCCATAACAAATCATACCTCTGGGGGATACTAGTCCAAGAGATTCCTTGTCTTCTGGATTGGTTTAAAATTTCTAGGTTACTGAGTTGAACATTAATAGTCGTAAACCCTAAATTGGGTCTGCTGTTCAATCACGATTATAAAATAAAATATATTTAAGTTATCACAGAAATGACAGCTATTTTACAACATAGTGCTGCTCCGAAGATCGAAAAATATTCTAAAATTATTGCCTTTATTTTTGCTATTGTTAGAAGCTATTTAACTGTAGAAAATATGAGTGTCAATGTCATCTCACCTGTAGTAACAATTTTATGGTATACAAAGTAACCCCATTTTATGGTACATCTTTTCTTGACTTTTGTAAACTTTTCCATCTGTTAGCTGTATTGAAATTCCTATTAAAAACAAATTGATTTAAGTTTTCATTAGTTATATAATGTCAAAAAAAAATAAGTTAATACATATTATAAATTTATTAAAATCATTGTTTTTTATTGTATAAAAAATGCTCAAAAGTGAAAGGCGCTTAATCAATTTTTAAAATGTGTACTAATTTTTTGCATTTATTTTGTTTTAAACATTCCATATCAGAATTCTCATGTATGTGCCTTACAAACTCCCTAATTATTATCTTGAAAATAAAGGGCCTGTAAAAATACATAATTTTGATTCAAGTCCTTAATCTCCACTACATTTATTTGATTTGAAAAACAGTAAACAGATGGATATTCATGCAAGATATTGACTTGATGAGAATATAAGAAGTAAAAGCATGCTTTTTTTTTTAACATTTTGAAGCTGATAAGATTTCAGCTGCTTTTTATAGTTATTAGAAATTAAAGCTTTCCAAATTACTTCAAGTTTCGTTGGACAGACGGTTTATACTTAGAAATTCTATGAACTCTTGTAAAATTAGATTTTGTTTTTTAAAAAATAGCATATTAATAAATACTAAGCAGAGTCTATATATATAATTCTATATAAAGATACTCCTGTCTGAAATGAAGAGCTGATGAATCTAAGGTGCAGCAAGAAATTCTGCTACCATCCAAAGAAGAAAGATAGGCATCAAGAGCCTATAGAAGCCTAGGCAGCCGTTAGTAAGCAAGTTTCAAAAGTTGTCCTTAAAACTTCGTCTGAGGTAACCTGCAAGTCATAATTCCATTACAGTCCAAGCAGCTAAAGACAAATTAATTGCTGTAAAGGTTTTCTCTTAGTGGATAAACAAAGTCATTTTTATTAGTCTTGTATCAAAATGACAAAACACTAGTGACATTTTTAGGTGGTGAATTATTTACTCTGTGTTAAAAGTTTTGGAGCATGAGACATGTTATAGACCTGATTTTGGATCTTTGATCTTAAATATGTAGTGCATTTTTAATGGCAATGAATTGCTGGTAAAAAATGATGTATGTCCATCTTCTGTTGCTCTTGCTGAAGAAAGAAGAAAAAAATTGATGCTTTCTCAAATTGAATGCCCTAAGAAAAGTAGCAGAAAAATGTTTGAACTTGAATCCATCGAGGGAAATGTTGCTAATAAATGTGTACGATTGATATCGCGATATAACCCTACATTGCTTATGAAAAGAAAAAATTTTATTTTCTTGTGACGTCTATAAGTAATTTTAATACTTCATTCAGAAAATCTTCTATTAACTTTTTGAAGAATTATAAATTTTTAAGAAACAGTAACATTTTTTAAAAATACCTAGCCATGCTATAAATTAAACAATACTACTAATATGTACTTGTAATATAGCTAAGAGATTTTTTTTTTATACCTTAACTTTGTGTATGTGTACATTTGATCATAATTTATTATCCCTTTTTTTTTAACGACTTTTATATTTGCTTTAAAACAGTGAGATCCCTGCATTTATTGATGTTAAATCCTTATAAAAATATTTACCATTTTAAAAGAATGCTAAAAATAGAATCAGACACGCCCTTTGAAAAGTTTTATTAGTTACAAATGATCGTTCAGTGTGGTTTTTCCTATAACTCGTCTTTACTTGTGAAGTCATTGCTTTATTATTGCCTTTAATCATTGCCCATTTCCTTGTTGGAAATCTCTTCATCTTTGGGGCATATAGCAGTTAACAATGTGTTGACCCCCTCTAATTCTCCCCCATGTGGAATAATTTTAGTGTTATTTAACATTATTATTAAAGATTTCTTTCGGATAAATTTCTGTTAAGAGAGAGGTCATTGTAGGTAACTCTACTATATTTGTTTCTTTCTTTTTTTACTTACTAGTTCCCATGTATTTCCTGTCAAGTATTAGTGCATATCTTGGTAAACAATAAAGATGGTAAAGTTTCTAAAGCTTGTTGTTAGTAAACTGTTTCAAATTAAGGGTTATTTTAGGAATAATATGGGTCATGTTCCCTTCACAAATTTTTATCATTTAAAATGTACCCTTCACAGAACTTTTCTTTTGAAAAACTGAGTCAATTGCATCATTTGTTTATAATTTTAAAACTAAAACTGCTTCAAAAAAATATTTTTTGTGTTTGTGCTGACATGTGCATTATGCCTATTTTAAAAGAGAATACTAGTTTGTTTCAGATAGAGAAAAAAAATCTCAAGAAATTCATCTAAAAAAAAATTTAACAATTAAGTAACTTTCTAAATTATTATTCATTTTAGATAGTCCATTGTCAACTTTTGATTCCGCTAGTTGCTTTACACAAGGATGTTAAACCATGTGCACGTCTTAGAGATAAAGCAAGACAGGATTTTTGTGTCTAAAAAATGATGAAACTGCACAATAACAATCATAAAACGAATATTTTTGAAAAGCATAAAAAATGAAGATTGACTGTAAAAATGGTCATAAAATCAGTACTATTATGTCAATAATAATCTAACAATCAAAATAGATATTTTAAGCATCTGAAGTGATAACCATACATAAAAGTTGCCAAATCAAAATTTTACAGGGCAAAATGTGAGGACTAATGAAAGATAATTTCAAACCTTGAAACAAGCAGTTTTCTCATACAAGTGCCCTGGAAAATTTTTTAAATCAAAACTGTTTTTGTTTAGCGCCTTTCAAAAAATCAGTTATATTTTTTTAGAAATTCAAAACTTGGTTCTTTTTTAATAATAGGCAATTCTAAAAATGTTTCTATTTTGATTCAACTAAACAACTTTGTTGGTAAATTTTTTTACATTGTTACTTATCGTAAGTTTGATCAAAAATTCACAATTTCTTTTTATTATCGTTTTTCAAAAACAAAAAAAAAAACCTTAGATTTTTTTAAGCACCAAAAACACTATTTCTACAAGCTTTCAGTAATGATCTTTTGAAAAGGGCTGTCAGTTTTGACTTATAAAATCGTACGGGACAATTGCTGTTGGGTTGGCCAGATCTCTGACTGTGAAGCCGATAGTTGTGGGTTCAAATCCAACTTAGGTCATGGATGTTTCTCTCTGTCTGTTGTGTGGGTATGGCCTTTTTCTATGAGTGGGTCTGTGGCATGGATAATGTTGCTCACCTCCGTAATGAACCATTCCATTCATGAGTGCCCACCAGGTAACTTAATATGAGCAACAGTTCTGCCATCTTCCAAGGTGAAGAACAAAAAATATTGCAGTTGGAGAGGGCTCTGTTGCCTTAAGTTGTTGCAGCTGTTAATTTAAACCTTTCCCTAGAAAAATAGAAATTGAACAAATATTAAGACTGCTAAAAGGAAATAATTATTTCTTATTGAAAATTGATTTTATATCCTATTATTTCAGGTCCTGTTGGTGGTGCACAAGTAGTCACAACTCCCATTCCTAATACCTTTCAAGTAGTCCATCCACCGCCCGCTACTCAAGCTTATAGTCCGCCTCCTTACAATCCAAACTATGCTGCCTCACAGCCTGCTGTAAATCCTTACTACAAATGATTTGACACTAGTCAAACCTGTGATTTAAAAACCAAATTTTCCTGTTTTTAACTGTGGTACTGTCAAAGTGTATTTTCTCCCTTTATAGTGTCCTTCCTCCTACTTTCTGTTGTGTATGGGTTATTTTTTTTTTTCATACATAACTGAACAAACTAACTGGATGATGGTGTATACTGATATTTTTATTTTTTGGTAACTATTTTTGATGAACTGTTAAAGCAAAATATTTACAATGGTATTGATCAAGATGCTCAGTAATTGTTTTCCTAAGCAATGCCAATTTTTTTTTTTATCTGTCATTTGCTAAACCATTGTTGCAACTTTCAGTTGCCAAATGTATGGTTAGAAAAACCTCTTATGGTGAAAGTTCTAAAACATTTGTTTTATAATTGATATTAGATAATTGTTAATTATATTCTTTTATCATTGAAACATTAGCTTATTTTGATATTTATTATAGTTATTTAACTATGGTTATTAATAGACACCTGAATGGCTGTCACTTTTCCGTAATTTGCGGAAGTGTTGCATATTAGAGGTTTATACCAAGTTTCCTGCTTTACCATATGTATGATTAATCATCACTATACACAGTGATTAAGTAATTCAATAAAGTAAGTGTATGTGCCTTTTGAAAAATATGAAAATAATTCATTAAAGTAAAATTCTTAAACTTTACAATTTATTATTTTTGATGTATAAAAAAAAAATTATCCTATTCGGTGATAAAAAAAATTGGTGTTAAGATTACTGAGTGAAGAAAAAGATTTCAAGCAAAACATTAATATCCATACATTACTATAATCCTTCTCTTCAGTAAAAAGTTTCTTATTGTTAAGCATCTTTAAAATCAACGTTTTGGAAATATTTACTTTAGAAGTGACTTTTAAAATAGGCTATACTTTGTCACATTCTGAGATAATACTCCCAAGCTTTCCCTTTTTTTTTATGAAATGGTTATTCTGAAGTTTTGCTTTATAAACAAATTACAGAGCTGCCAACTGCTCGGTATTTTTAACGTTTGAAGTCAAAGTAAAATTTATGCTTTTACATGGTGCATAGCGTTTTTTAAAGGTGCTTATTTTAGTTTTTTAAAAGCCCTTAAAGGTGCTTTTTTATTGGAGTGTTTTTAAAGAGTACTTAATTTTCCCTTTTCGAAGATGAGATTTTTTTTTTCCTTTCCCAAGTCTATTTTTGCTAAGTATTATGCAAAATCCCTGTTTTCACATTGTTCTATTCAACGTTTTCACAATTCATTCAACCACAATCCATTTTGGCATGTCGTCGGTCCATAGCGTATGATAGCGCCAATCATGTTACATGCTTAATGAAATACTTGGGAGTGACTACTGAGCGCTGGATTCAGTGAGATTCTTGCACTCTTGTGTACAACTGTGCTGCATTTTGCAAGATATTCTCAATTTCCAGCTGCATTTTCCATCCTCTGAAATCGAAACAAAAAAATCTCTCTGAAGTACTTAAAAGGTGGTTTTTTTTTTTTTTTTTGAGAGAGAGAGAGAGAGATTTGGCTATGCACCCTGTTTTATTTATTTTAAACTTTATTAAAAACTTTCTTACTACTGACAACAGCATTACAGGCTTCAACTTAAAGCTTATATAAGGGACCTGATAATCACTCAATAAGTTTTTAAACCCCTACCACTTTTTATTTGCTATGAACTTCAGAGTTTGCAACTCTGTAAAGATGCCCTTTCTGCATTTTTGAAAATCGAGGTTGACATCAGCATAAATATCCTCTTTTTTTTACTTCCTTAACACTTTAAAACAATTCATGTTTTATCTTCCTTTATTGATGATACAAAGTTGTAGTTAAATAACATGTGCCTTATTCTTTATAATTGGGTATAAGATGACCTATGTCGCACTTCACTTTTCCAGAATATTATTGCCCAGTAAAAACCAGCCTCTTTTGCGAGGTAACCTGTTTTTATTAATAGAATCATCTTTTTAGTGGGAATGGTTGAAGTTGTGCTTCATATTATACCCAATTACTGTGCCTTATTAATTTTTGCCTATGCAAATTTTATGCAAGTAAAAATTCATCGTATACTATTCCTAAATTTTTACATAAGTATTGAATAGTTTTTTCTTAGACTTTCAATATTAATCTTTGAGAGGTTAAAAGAAATTTATAAATTATTATTTTACTAATTTTTAAATGATTACCATTAGGACTCACTTTTATGCTATTAAATTTTGTATATTGTGCACTTATTTAATTAAGAAATAACATATTTCCCAACTTTTTTGTTTAATTAAATTTAAATAAATTTTTTTATTGCCTCATTGCGTTGTGAAAACAAGCTGTAGTTAATAGATTATAATAATATATTAGTTAAAAATAGGATATAAAATTAGGGAGAAAATATATACACTGCATGAAATGCACTATATTGAAAGTTGTAATAGCACTTTCATAGATGAACAATATATTTTGGCTGTTAGCAAAGTTTGGATCTGATTAAAACTCAAATGTGTATATTTGTATTTTTAATTCACTTTTATGTATTTACAAGTAAATAGGCACTTTTACATAAAATATTGATTAAGATTTAATATTGTTTTTTAGAATTTACATGTCTTCTGTATGTGTAATAATATTTTTAAAGGCAAAAAGTGGTTACCATTACAGCATATGTAAAATTACAATTGATGTACTAAGACCAGGTTTTTGAGCTTTATTATTAGAAGTTTACAGATTCAAATAGCACTTTTTCTGTATCGAAATGTTTTGTAACGTTAGTATAACAATACTGTATAAGTTAGGTTGCAATAATTTTCCTAAGAATATGCAAAATTTTTGAAATATATAAATCATTGTACTTTTATAATACATTTTTGAAAGCTACTGAATTTTTTTATTTTCATTTAAATACTAAATATTTTTTATTCCAGAATCTTATTTTCCATGATCTGAAATAAAAATGTCTGTGATATTTAGTGGTTTTCCTAGTAATAAAGCTCAAAACATATGAAATTTATTCTTGTTTTCTCTTATAATTTCAATTTATAAAGAATTATATAAATTACAAATTTTTAAGATCAAATTTCAAATATTAATTATAAATTATTATAATCAATTCTATGATCAAATTTGGAAATGACATTAGAGTATCTCACTACAGTGCCAAATTATTGTGCTATAAAATTGAAAGCGGGCAAATTGCTCACAAGATGGAATTCAGTAACATTCCTTTTTTATGTTCACTATTTGACTGATTAACTTTTCATTGTATTATTAGAATCTTGTTGATAAAATCATGTCAACACATAAATCGCAGAGCTTTGCTATTTAGAACCGCTATTTGTCATCAATATTATTTTTCATTGTGTTCTGTATATTTTTGGTCTTAGTAAATGTTTAAACAATAAAATTGATTGTTTTTTGTTATTCGTGGGGTTGTTAATAAAGTATGCTTGGATTACACAAAAGTGGCTGCTGCAAATATCTGCAGTGAATAAGAGAAGTATTCTTGATAGTGAGGTGTATATATATGTATATATATATACACCAAAGAGCCATTACATTATGACCACCCTGCTAATAACATGTAGGACCACCTTTAGCCCTCAAAACTGCTAGCACCCGCCATGGCATTGATTCCACAAGGTGCTGACAGATAGTCTGAGGTATCTGGTGCCAAGCGCTCACCAACTGGTCCTGCAATTCCCTCACATTGCGAGGGGGTAGCTTGGCAGCACGAATTTGGTTTTCCAACTAGGACCACAAATGCTTTATTGGATTAAGGTCAGGTGAATTTGGGGGCCAAGACATGACTTGAAAGTCACTGGAATGTTCCTCGACGATTCGACCCTTATGACATGGTGCATTATCCTGTTGGTAAACACCATCCCCCGCAGGAAAAACTGTTGCCATGAATGGGTGAACCTGGTCTGCAACTATGTTCAAGTAGTTTACAGATGTCATGAATGGTTCTATGAAGATTATAAGTCCTTATCTGCCCCATGAAAGCATTGCTCCTGGGCGAGAAACCATGAAAACCTGGGCGAGCCCATTGTTATGAATGGATGGTGGTCATAATGTAATGGCTCGTCGGTGTATATATATCATAGTGCGGAGCTATTTTAAAAAGTGCTTAAAGGTGCTCATTTTCAGTTTTTGTCTTTCAAAAGCCCTTAAAGGTGCTTTTTTTCATTGAGTGTTTTTAAAAAGTGCTTATTTTCCTCGTTTCGAAAATGGGTCTTTTTCTTTTCCATGTCGATTTTCGTCACGTATTATGCAAAGGCGTGCTTTTCACATTGTTCAACGTTTTCACAATTCATTTAACCACAATCTATTTCGGCTTACCGTCGGTCCGTAGCGTATGAAAGCGCCAATCATTTTACATGTTGATAAAATATTTTGCTAGTGTGCGTCTACTGAGCTGGGTTCTGTTAGATTATTGCAACTGTGCTGCATGTTGCAAGATATTCTCAATTTCAGGCTTCATTTTCGAACCGAAAAATCTCTTGATCATTTTATGGTGGCTAATATGATCAAGAAAAGAGTTAATTGTCAGAAATTAGTTATTTTATCATAATCATGTAAAGTCTTTGAGTGCTTAAAAGGTGCTTATTTTTTGTTGAAAGATTTGGCTATGCACCCTGTATGTATATATATAAATTTTTAAATGCACTTACTAACACAAAGTAACTAAATCAAACGTAGCAAAATAATAAAAATTCATATAGAGGTTATTAGTTTGATTTTATGCTATTTTGTCAAAATTATTATATAGACTATCCATATACAACATTTCACAAGTTTCATATTTTATTTAATCTACGTTATATTTATAAAAAATCAATATATTAAAGAAATAAGTTGTATCTTTTTTTGTGAAAAATGAATTGGATTGTCTTTTAATAACACTTGAAACTAAGACAATCTTGACTAAACCGTGCAACTTTTTCGCTGATATTAATATTATCCTAAGTGATGAGCAAACAAGTACTACAGAAAAAGTTTGTTTATAGTTTTAAAATTTAATATTTTTTTTAGCGTTATTTTTCAGTCCCTATAATAATTATCTGTAATGCTCATAAATTTTCATTCTTTTAAAAATCCAAATTAGAAAAACTGGCACACGAATTCTATTTTTAGAAATCCTTATCTTTCCGGAATTCCAGATAACATAACCATAACCGGTCAAATGACCGTTTATGAATTCGCAGCGAAAATGCGCTTATCGTTTTTGCACATTTCACTTCATGACTTTTTCTAATAATTATATACAGTTAATATTCTATTATTATTTTTTTGTAATTTGTTTCGAATAGTACTTGTCGTATACCTATTTCTGCAACAACCGGTCATTTCACCGGGAGAACAATTTATTGCTTTATACGGTTGTCGGAACAAAAATTACAATGTAATGCGTGTTCAACGTGTTGCATTCATGTAGTTGCACATTTCTGCAAAGACTGCTGCGTAGTTAGTTCAATCAGAATAACTGAACTCAAAGTTCAAAGAAGTACAGTAGGGAACCAATTATCCGGAACGATCGGGACCATCGCTATTCCGGATAATTGATTTTTCCGGTTTTCTGAATCGCTACAAAAAGGCTTTTTTTTATTGTCAAACTCAACTAAAAAAAAAAAAAAAATATTTGGAAATCTTAAAAAGAAGAAAAAACAATGACGTAATGCACTAATGATTATTTCCAAAATGATTGTAAGTTAACATCTTTCAAAAAAGGAAGAAAAATCCTGAAATCTTATGGGGGGGGGGGAAATGGCGGGAAAATTTATCGAATTTCGTTCCGGTTTTCTGATTTCCGGATAACGAGTTCTGTACTGTACCTAAAATTTTTAGATAGGCATTTTTGTGTAAGAAAAAGTGACAAAAGATAAATGTCTAACTATTAGTTTTCAATTCAAAAATTATAAATAACGGGAAGGAGCGACTCCCTGCTCACAAACCTCGAAATCGCTTTCGTAGCTCCTTTCAGATTGCTTCCCAATTCGAGCACACTTCTCTTGCTCATTGGATATTTTTTTGTATTCTAATCCAGCTTTGTATGAATAGTGTTCTTTTTATAAAGAAAGAATTGAATTTGTATGCATGACGATTTCACTGTTAATTGGAAATTATGGCCGGGATAGCGCTAGACTCGTTCGTGAGAACTGTAGTTAGTTTCTAGCCTGTCGAAGTGACTGGTGCACGTTAAATCCGTTGGATCACAAAGTCCTCCATGTACCCATAAACTGATTATATCTCTGGTGGTGCTGAATTGGAGACTGATCGTTCTCTAGTTCGGGTTAAAATTACGATCTGTGGATGTATCAATGTGTCCTCCCTATAAACGGACGGAGACGTGTGTGGCTGAAGATGGCGCCACTGAACGCAAGAAACTGACGCTCTGCTTAAATTCGCTTCGTTTTATCAAGCAGGCTTCTTGGTATCGGCAAGTACACATTAATCGGAAAAATTTCTTCCAGCAGAAATTTGTAAATAAATAGATAAGAATTTTTACTGTTTGTATTTTAGGCTGAATAAGTGTTTTCTTAATTGTTTCTAAATGATATTCTGATATTGGAACTTAAATATTAAAAAGAATCAAAACTAAATTTTCATTTAGTATAAAAGCAATTTGATAATATTTTTATTAATCGAAAGTCAAGTTAAATTTTAATATCGTACTACATTAAGAATATACAGCCCTGAAGCTAAAGAAAATATAGAATATGCAATCACATTTGTGCCAGCATCATTTTAACCGACCTGTTTCTTAATTTTAAAAAGTATATCCAGATTACACAGAACGTTGTACTTTCATTATAGTATACCAGTTCCAGGATCAGTATACCAAAAATTAATATATTACCGGCTCTTATCCTTATAAAAAAGAAACATCTGTCTTAACTCTAGAAGAAAAATATTATAAGAAGTAAATCCTTAGAAAAATGTATATTAAAAATGCTTTGGTCTCAAAAAAATTTAAAAGAAAACTGGTAACCTATCTATGTGTATCTAAGTTTTATATTTTTAAAACTGCAACCCTTTGAACTAATGAAATTGGAAAGTGTCATTGCTACCTGACTCCCTCTTGTCAGGTAGCAAAGACATGTCCGGTCTTGGGGTGTAGTACAAGCAAATGGTGCGAAAAGGGAGATCATTCTGCAACGAACCCGAAGTTCTGGTTCGAATCCTGTCGGCCGCCAACGAACATCTCTCAATTTTTCACTTTCGAAACTATGCATTTTGCTCAAAAACAAGTATATACTGTTTCAATTTTGAATATGTAGGGTTTTTTAAATTCGGTTATTATTTGTCTCCCAACTATTTTCACAAATTTTTGTTTTAAACCCCCTTTTTTTATATAATGTACTTTGTTTTAACAGAATTTACGAACGTATGAGATCCTGATTGCTATAGTAAGCTTGTCAACTTTGGTTAGTGTATGGAGAGGAACATGTTTTGCGAGTTATATAAAAAAAAAAATCATTAACGAATGAAAATCATCAGTAGATTTTTGTAGGGGAGAGATGGGACTATAGTAAACATCTTGAATAGCAATTTTATTTATTGGTTAAATTTCTTCTATCATATTTTATTTTATAACCGTCGTTGAATAACTGACCCAATTTTTTGGGTTTACAATTATTAATGTTCAACTCCGTAACCTTGTAAATTTGAAACCCATCCAGAAGACAAATGAACTCCTAGATCAAGTATTGGGTAATTTGCCTTCGTGGAGGACTTTTTGATGCAACTAACCTTCATTTGCATTACATGGACAACGGCAAGGGGACTCTAACCCATGATCCGTATTCCACTGAGGATATTTTACGTCAGCACTGTGGTCAGTGCGAGTCGGGTGTGGAATTCATATCCATCATTCATCACTGGGATTCGAACCCGGTTCACCTCATTGGAGGGAGAACGCTCTATCCCCTGAACCATCACGACTCTCTCTTCTATGATGTATCGTAAATTGGCAACACTGATCTACACTACCATGTGCAGTTGCATAATGACACTGGAGGCCGAACGATGTGCAAAGCGTGGAGGTAGCGGATTCGAATCCCGTTGCATCCCTGGATGTATCTTCCTGTCGTCCTTCTCTGTATTGTGCTATCTTTTCTCCTGTTAGCTGCAGGCTTATGAGCCTACAAATATATCTAATTCCACTAATCACACTGTAAATACATGAGTAGAAATTTGTAAAAGAAAATTTTTAAGGTGTAGAAGTAACTTTCAAATTTTGTCTTCGCTCTTTTGTTAGCATGTTTTAATTTCAGCTAAATGTGATAAGATGTTAAAAATAATACTGTTTTTTTTTTTTTTTTAACCAAATTATTATTAACTTTTTCTCTGTATGGCTTCAATTAATCAGCATTAGGCATAAGCAAACATATGTCTTCGTGAGGCTAGGTAAAAACATTCTT